ACACACACACACACACACACACACACACACACACACACACACACACACACACACACACACACCATCCACCCCTCATTCACTACCCAAAAGGCCATGACAGCCAGAGCAGAGCCCATCTGAATTCAGGAGCAGCTTTGGGTCTCCCACGTGGGTGAAGGGGCCCAAGGACTTGACTGTCCCAGGAACATGAGCAGAGAGCTGGTTTGCCAGTGTGGCAACCAGGACTGGAACCAATGTCCAAACGGGATACCAGATCACAAGTGGTGCTTTACCTGCTGCACTGCATTGCTGACCACTGTGACACAGTGATTAAAGAACAGAGGTCCTTTAATAGTTGTCAGAGAAGCTGTTTAATTTTAATTAATGATCTGTTATTTTAAGAATTGCAAGAATAGGTACTGTAATTTTATTTAATTTTATTTTTTAATGGAAAGTCACATATACAGAGAGGAGGAGAGATAGAAAGGAAGATCTTCCGTCCGATGATTCACTCCCCAAGTGAGCACAACGGGCTGGTGCTGTGCTGATCCGGAGCCAGGAGCCAGGAACTTCCTCCAGGTCTCCTACACGGGTGCAGGTTCCAAGGCCTTGGGCTGTCCTCAACTGCTTTCCCATGCCACAAGCAGGGAGCTGGATGGGAACTTGGATTAGAACCAGTACCTATATGGGATACCAGTATGTGCAAGGTGAAGACTTTAGGTGCTAGCTACTGTGCTGGGCCTGGAAATACAAATTTCTTGTAGCATTCTAAATTTGCATGTGTGTGTTTATAATTTTTTTTTTTTTTGGAAAATATTTTGGCAGTTCTTAGTTATCCTTCAGTTTTTGAAGGAATCCATTTTGGGGAGGGAAAAAAATATAGACATCAAAATGCTGTGTTTACGGATATTTGAGGTGAGAGTACTTTAAAATAGTGGATGTTGGAAAAAATCCAAGTATCCAGCTATAGTATGAAGAATTCACTGATTGAATGTATTTGTTTTCCAAGTATGGTATTTTTAAAATTCAGAAAATACAAAATCTGTAAAATGTTTGTAGTTGTTCATTCTTGAATGTGAAATTCGGGCACAAAATTGTGCAACTAGTATATAAATGCTGGACCTCACTTGCCAACAGTCAAGATTTATTATACTAATCTTCCTCCCAGCTCTCCCACCCCTCCCCCCACTTTTAAACTTTCCCTGGGTCTGGACTCCTAGTTGGAAATGTGAAGAGAGGTATGACTTTCCGAACCTCACTGACCTCAAGTTTAAATGGGACCTTGGATGAGTCCACTTTTCTCTCTGGACCAAGAGCCTCATATTTGGAATTCTGTCTTTGCCTTTCTCACCCGTTTGTTTCATCCAGACGTCAGTACCATAACTGTGATGTCCAGGGTCCGTCCTTTTATTCCTGCAGCCTCAGTTTACACAGCAGGTTTGCTGTAGAGAACAAACTCCCCCAAGAAGACAATCTCTAACCTGTTGAAATAGAGTTCCCTGTTACAAATGGTGCATGAAAAGTAGTTGGCTTTTGTCGTCACTTATGTCACCGTGTGATTTTCACTGCAGTACCTCCTACATCTTATTTATAATGCTGAGTATCTACAGGACTTGATGATAGAGGGTGCTGTTCATGTCACGTTACCAGGTCATGCTGGATTTTGCTATCACCTTACCAGATTTAGGGGACTCCTATGCCTGTTACTAGTAAGTAGGATGCTGTCGGAGAAGTACTTCCTGCATGGATATTTTCAGGGAATTTATGGCAATATTTTCTGGCTTAAGCCTTGTGTAAGTCTTAGATTATTTTTCAAAGGAAATTTAAATCAGGTTTTTCCTGAAGGCAGATTTTAAGATACGCCAAGACAGTATAGTACAAAATAGCATTCTATTTAACAAATACTGAAGTCAGGTAACACGCTAACATGCTAGTATCCCTGAATGCAAACATTGCTAGAGCTCCCCTCAGGCATGCCAGTTTGGTGATCAGCCATGCAGTTTGGCAGGTGGTTGGTGAATGGCGAGTACAAGGAAATTACAAGAGCAGCCTTAGAGAGCCTAATTAACACAGGAGTGGGTTTCCACCCGTTCAGAAAGAGCAAAAGAGCCTAAGTGCGTGGAAAGCTCCGAGGCATGATATGGCACCTGCAGATTTACCATGAAGTTTGTCCTCACTTGAATTGAGTGTGTGATTGTCGTAAGGTAGGCTGTGTGAAGTTGGGGAGATGAAAGTGGATTGTTAGGAGTGACTGCAACCACAGCTCCAATTTTTAGGCATGCTTAGTAGGTAGAGGCCTTTATTGTGAGGGTTGAGGAAATAATTAAAAGTGATAGATAAGAAGTAACAGGGCAGTTTTTATTTTAAAAGTAGTCTTCTGCTAACTGCAGTGTGGCGAATGTGTGGGCAGGGAAGGGAATGTCTTGGTGCTGGTGGAAGAGCAGGTTGATGGCAGTCTAGAAGGTCACTGGAATGCCAAGGGAAAGGTGGGAGTTACTGTGACCAAGAATTCTCAGGTGTAGTGACAGGAGACAAGAAGTTCCAGGGAAAGGAAGAAAAAAAAAATCACTGTGAACATTAGTTTAAGCAGCCGTGTAGTAAAATAAACTATTTAAATTTAGCATGATTTAAGCAGGACACTCAAGTGTAGAATTTGTCAGGTAGACATTAATGAGAAGTTTTGAACAAGCCTAATGACTGTTGCCGTGTCAGAGCGGTCTCCGCACATCTGTGTATGCACCTGTGGTCACTTCTCAGCTGGTCTGACCCAGTAGAGTCAGGACATTGGTTATGTTCCAGCCAGAAACTGGCGTGATTTTTGTCTTTGACTCCTGAACATGCTATTACTTTAAGCTTAAGCCATTTAAGCTAATTAAATAGATGTAAAGAGGACAGTTTGTACTGTGGGTGCCCATGAATAGAAAATACAGAAGTCATGGATTCTCTGCACTCGAGTCACCTTACGTAAGTGAAAACGCCTTGAAAACTTTGGCACTAAACATGGCTTTCATTGAGTGTGCATACCACTTTGCAAGGCTGTGATGTGTAAACATGCAGTGATGTGCTCCCTTTCTGTCAGGAGGCAGCAGCTCTGTCTGCTTAAGCTACCGTACTCTAGCTTTTCGAGAGGAGCAGTACAGTAGAGCGAGTGAAATTTGCATCCTAACTCCTACTTTTTTTTTTGTTTGCATCCTACTTTAAGTGGCTGTGTTTTCAGATTATAAATTACTGAAATCGCATGTGTATGCATGATACTTAGCGTGAGTTAGACCTTCCGGAAAGGATAGCACCCATCGTGAAGTCTGCCTATGCTGTCTGACTTCCCCTGCCCTCACCCCTGTTTGTGGTTTTCAGAGGAATTTATTGGGGGAGGGACCTGTAAATGCAAACAGGAACCCACAAGCTCAAGGCTGTGGATTACCTCACCCTCCAATCTTCCTGGCTCCTGGCGATCTGGAATCCACTCATTCAGATGGGGTTTCCTGATAGGGACAACTCAAAATGCTGCTCCCTGCACCCTTATAAACTGGAGACTGTAAATGGGTTTAAAGGTAACCTTGCTTGTGGGCAAAATCCAGATTCTAAAATCAAGGTCTTAAAAGTGAAAATTTTTTCCCTTTGCTTTCTCACATTAACAATGCCTTGGTGCTGTCACAGGGAAGGGCAGTTGGTGAGGAAGATCAACCCGAGGGGACTTTGCCTCTCAAGCCATGCAAAGGTTTTCACTGTTTCAGTTTAGAATGCTGATAGATGTCGCAGGAAACTGCAGAGTGCAAGAATGGAACCCCAAACACACACACCCTGAACCCCAAACACACACACCCTGAACCAGCTGAGCCCGCAGTTATTATGAAGATGCAACTTTCTGTGTTTCAAGTATACTTTGAATTGTTTATGTTATAGTATTTTTACTTAACCTGTTTTACATCTATCATTCTACAGCACCTGAATTTAGATGTATTTGGGTAACAGATTTTTGTTAGCATTCTGGTTTTAAATATTTTAATTGAAATGCTAATAGAGAATTTTTTACTGGCAAAGCACAAGTTCTTTTTCTTTTGTTTAAATAACACTTATGGAATTTAAGCCTTGAAATTCCTTTTCATTCTCCCCCCTTTTTTTAAAGATTTATTTTTATTAAAAATTCAGATATACAGAGGGGAAGAGAGACAGAGAGGAAGATTCTGTTGATTCACTCCTCAAGTCAGCATAGTGGCTGGAGCTGTGCCCATCTGGAGTCAGGAGCCAGGAGCTTCTTCCCACAAGGGCCTCCCGTGTGGGGCAGGTGCAGGGTTCCAAGGCTTTGTTTTGTGCTGGACTGCTTTGCCAGGCCACAAGCAGGGAGCTAGATGGGAAACAGAGCCACTGGGATACGAGCCAGTGCCCACATGGAATCCGATGCATGCAAGGCGCAGCCTTCAGCCACTAGCCTACTGCGCCGGGCCCTCCTTTCATTCTTAAATTTCATTTCTTGTATTTGCTTTCGTCAGTAGTTAGAAGATACTATAAAATTGAATTTTACATGGTATTTAAGAGTTTGTGGAAATTAAAATATATGACAAATATTTCAATGTCTCTTTATCTTGGTCTTTTTCCTCTTGAGTGAAGCAAGAATTGAATTACATGATTTTCAGATCCTTTTTTTCAACCCTTAAGTTTGTTGTTGTTCATAATGGGAATTACATATGACTGCTGAAAGTAGTATAATTAAGATATGTGCTTAGAAAATGCAGAATACATTAATTAATTAAAAATCTGGATACTTCAGGAAGTTAATAGAAATTTGGAATTAGGTGTTAAGCTTTTTTGGGGTGCAAAAGCTTTTGAAATCCATGCATAGTTTTTCCATAATACAGTTTTTTGAGTGAACTTTCTAAAGATTTCAAAAGGCTAATCCTTAGCTCCCACCCTGAGATTTCAGACAGGTGGGTGTGGTTTTGAACGATTATGGAGATCCTTTTGTTTGTGTCTTTTAGCATATGGCTACTAAGAAAATAAACTTCCTTTTCTTTTGTTTTTAGGATTTTCTCATTCAGCATTTACCTTTGGTATAGAAAGCCATATTAGTCAGTCTAATATAAATGGTGCCCTTGTTCCACCTGCTGCATTGATTTCTATCATCCAGAAAGGTCTACAGTATGTAGAGGCTGAAGTTAGTATTAATGAGGTAAGACTTATTTCAAATATTAATTCTTTCTCCTAAGTAGTTCTTACATTGTCTGTCTCGCTTGCGTATTGTGTGTCTGAGTGTAGCTTCACCGGATAAATGAAAATGGAGATTGTGATCCCCGGTAGACCAGTCTGATCACTCAGGCCTGGTGTGTTAGCTCCTGGTTGTGAGGACCATTATTTGCTTCCTATTTCCCTTAACATATGTTTGTAAATAAGCACAAGAAATCATTTTCTTTAACAAAAAGGCATTGTGTTGTAGAATGCTGAAACTAAATCAGTGGCCTAAAAATCAGAAATGCTGAACATTGTTTAGATGTATCCTGGTTTTTGGAACTAGTGTGTTGCTGTAAGCAACTCGAGCTGTATTAGGTCAGCTTACAGGTAGTGTGCATAGTTCAAGTGTCAGCTTACTGTAGTCCGCTCCCTGTTTTTGAAAATAAAGTTGGAAACACAGCCGTACTCATTTACAAATTGTCTGTGGCTGCTTACTGTAGAGTTGAGTAGTTGTGGCAGAGACCTTATTGGTGTAAGGCCTAAATGAATTGGTGTCTGATGCTGGGTCTTCTTACAGAGAGGCTAGCAAATTCCTTGTTATCTTTAAACAAATGCTTTGTTTCCTGTATGGCCACAATTCAGGACCAAGTGGTTTTCCCCTTATTATCATGTAAGAAAGTAGCATGCTCCCTTCTTGGGTGTGTATATTTTTAAGCAAAACATATTTAACTTTTGGGTTAACATTTATTACTATAGCCATATAGCCCACTAAAATTGATTTTAAAATTGGATTTTTTTATTTCTTATTTCTGTGCTTGAAAAAGTCACTAATGTTAATTAAATGTGTCCGATAGCATTTTCCTCTCAAAAATATGAAGGCACTTCAGAATGTTTATGGAAAGATGGAATTACAAGAAAGTTTATTTTGATGCAGACCTTTTTTTTTCCTGGTCCATGCATCACTTTTCTGTTAGACACGTTTCTCAGAAGTTTCTGGGGGCCTCTTTTATGCATAGGCTCACTTTCTTTTAACCAAAATAAAGTTATCTTTTAACTCCATTTGCTATAAACATTTGAAAGTGCCCTCGTATGCTTTATTGTGAAGAGCAATAAGCAAGCAAGTTTCCTACTCGGCAGAGGTGAAGTCTCGTTGTCGTTGAAGCATAGTGTATAAGCTAGTACTCTACCATGCACACGTGTGTGCTTAGTGGTCTGTAAGTTAAATCACATTTTCCCATTTCTCAAGTATTCTGACAATTGTCGCTTCATAATGGTGTTCTGTGTTTTTGTGATTCACTGTATCCCATTCACTCCACAAGATCTTTGGTGGTACATGTCCCCTGGTTTAATTGAACCAGGTTTCACATAGGTATGTTCTAGCCAATTTACATCGTTTCTGTTTCTGAGTTGTTCTGTGCTCACTGGATAATTTTATTGACTATGAACTTCCTGATACCAGTAAGTAAAGCTTTGGAAATTTGAGCTGTTCCATAAAATTAGATCACTAGCCTGTGTGATACCTCTCTTACATGTTAGTGTGGGGCAGACCTAGGCACAGTGCTTGTTAGACACTGTCCTGAGCCTTCCCTTAGATTCTGCTGCTGCAGGATTGGGTCTCATTCAGGAGACAGCAGTGCTGCTGGTCTTTGGATCGAGGTCTAAATAGTTTGTCGAAGAGATTTGGTTTGCCTGTGACTAGCTGTGTAACCATTACAAGTTACAACAGCCTCACAAATGCGCTTGTATTTCAGCATTAATAAAATGAAATATTTGAGCTGATTTCTGTTTGAATATTTTAATCAAATCACAAGAAACTTTGGAATCCAACAAATAACTTTTTTGAGAAGTCATACCTTTGTATACCCCAGGGATTGGTGCAGGGACCCTGTTGCTCCCATATTAGAATTTACTGATGCTCAAATCTCTTAAAATGGCTTTAGTATTTGCATTTAACCCATGTACATCATCCAGTCTGCTTTAATTCGCCTCTGGATAACTTGGAGAACCTAATACAGTAAATAGTGGTTACAGTATATTGCTTGGGAAATAATGGCCAGGATGTTCGATACTGACAAGCTTTTTGTTTTTTCCCTCAAATACTTCCATTATTCCTGGGTTGAAAGAGACGACTGACTCTTTACCACACTGTGACTCCATACGCTGCTTCTTGCATGTTGGTCATTGTTTTTTACTAACAGAATTTCAGAGTATAATTAGCGTTTTCGTCCTCTGGCCTACAGTTTATCATCCCTTCCAATTTTTAGCAGTGGCTTCTATTACATTACAATTATATCTCCAACACTCAGCAACACGAACCGAGTTGAAAATGAAAATTTAAATAGCAGTTGCAGTTGCTTCTTGTGGTTCCTTTTTTCTTTTCCTCACAACTCTATTCCTTTTTAAATGAGTTCAGAGCAAATGTTTCTATTTCTGTTGTTGACTTATATGAATGGGAATAACTCTAATTGTTATCTTTGGCTTTTCTTTTTTTACGGTTTTCCAAATCCAGGATGGTACCTTGTTTGATGGTCGACCAATAGAGTCTCTGTCCCTGATAGATGCCGTAATGCCTGATGTAGTGCAGACAAGACAACAAGCTTATAGAGATAAGCTTGCACAGCAACAGGCAGCAGCTGCTGCAGCTGCCGCAGCTGCAACTAACCCGCAAGGAACTGCAAAAAATGGAGAGAACACAGCAAATGGAGAGGAGAACGGAGCACATACCATAGCAAGTGAGCAGAGAAACCTTTAAAATTCCTTTTTCAGGGGATATGCCTAACTTAACTGGGACCTATCTGCTTGATAGAAATAGTTTCGTCTATTTACTTATTTATTGTAAACCAACTTGTTTCTCACAGTTCAGATTTTCCCCTCTAATGTTCCCCAAAGCTAGATTTACTTGAATCGACTCTGTATTTTTTTAAAATATTTAAGAACTTCTTTCCATTATGAAGTGAATTTTTGCCTCTGCATTTGATTTCTAAGTAAAATTTGTAGTATTGGTTTTGACCAAATACCATGCAGTTAAGACATTCAGACAGAAAAAGCAACTCTAATGTTATATGCATGATATCAGCAACCCCTACTGGCAGAAACTCAGAATAGTATTGGTACGTGTATAAATTCAAAGCATTCATTATCCTAGCCATGTTTATGTCTAAGCTTTAGCAGTCATCCTCTCATACCAACCTCGGCCAGTCCTCCGTAGACAAACTGACGTGTGTATAAATATATACACACACGTTATATACACACACAGACACACATAAGCTTTTAACAATAGTACAGTCCCAATATACAATGAAGGAGTTTCTTTTCCTTTTGGAAGACTATATAGTCATGCTCAACTTAATCTAACATGGTGAAAAACAATAACACTCAATTGTAAAGGAAAATATTTGCTTGTTTCGCATTTTTTCCTCACATGCCCCACAGCCCACTCCCCGAGGATGTTGTGCTGTGACTTAATGAATTTTCTCCTTATTTCCCATAATGCAGATAATCATACTGACATGATGGAAGTGGATGGAGACGTCGAGATCCCTCCTAATAAAGCAGTTGTGCTGCGGGGCCATGAGTCTGAAGTTTTCATCTGTGCCTGGAACCCTGTTAGTGATCTCCTGGCATCAGGGTATGTTTATCAAAGTGACAATAAATGAGCTTTATAGAATGATTTGCTTAAGTGTTAACTCATTTTTAAGTATTCTATTTACATTTTTTTCATTTTTGGATTTTATTGTCCGTTGGTAATCGTAAGTAATTTTAGAAGTCATAGCTAAATATTTTATTTGGAATCCCCCAGATATATATAGAAAGGAAAAATACTGGGAATACAAATCTATGGTGACCTAGTTTTTATTTGTTTTATAAGTAATAACTTGTAAACATGTTGTTATGACTCTGAAATACTTGCGCATGTTATGAGTATTTAAAATAAATTGTGTACTTCGTAGGTCTGGAGACTCAACAGCAAGAATATGGAATCTTAGTGAAAATAGTACCAGTGGCTCCACACAGTTAGTACTTAGACATTGTATACGAGAAGGAGGGCAAGATGTTCCAAGCAACAAGGACGTCACTTCTCTAGATTGGAATGTGAGTATCACTCTGTTGTCTGTGTTAGTTGTGGGTACTGGAATACTTAGCTTCTCAGAGTTTTACACTGATTGTAGAGTTTTTCTCTTGCCGGATAGTACTGGGTTTTGTTAGCAACAACAAACTAGGAGTTCCTATCCCCTACTTGTGATGTTAGAAATGGAGGTTGTCCAGTTAGTAATCCAGGTTTAACTTCCACCTGTTTAATTTACCAGGAATTGTTACTGAACCACTACGTGCATTGCACAGCTGACATGCAAAATAGAAGTATGGAAATGACACTTTAAGTTAATGAAAGAATACGTGAAAAGCTTTGGCACAGCAACATGCAATATAATAAATCCTTAACAACTGACTCCTTTCTTGGGGAACAAAATAAATTTATATAAAGCAGAAACCTGTTATTGTTCTTATTATGCTTTGCACTGATAAAACCTTGTTACCAGCTGCCTCTTAGGGCCACTCACATAGGTTATTCTTACGATTGATTCAGCTTTAGGATTCTTAAGATGTTGGTTCTGCAGATGTTTCAATATCCTCGAGGATAGCTTGACCAGAGCTAGCTTTTTAAGTGTTTCTAAAATTGCCGAGCGTGTACTCACCTTTTCCTCCTGTAAAGTACTTGTTGACAATTCTCAAAGTGCAAGGAGCTTAGCACATCACAGTGTTATTTGATTATAGGACCTGGAGTCAGAATTATCTTATTGATGTGGGCCCATACTGTAATCTTAGGTCAGAGTGCAGGGTTTTTGGGTTTTTTTTTTGTGCCAACTGCTCCACTAACCATGTTAACGCAACTTACACTGAAAAGGATTGTAACGAAGGTTGACTTGTGCTTCTACAGCATGTTGCAATTTTAAAAAGTGTGGGCTTTTCAGAAATATGTGATTTATTGTGAACCTGAATAATATTAAATGAGGAAGAGCCTTCTTGGTTCCTTGTTCTTTTTTTTTTTTAAGATTTATTTATTTTTATTGGAAAGGTAGATTTACAGAGAAAAGGACAGAGAGGAAGCTTTTAAATTCACTGGTTCATTCCCCAAATGTCTGCAGTGGCCCAAACTGAGTTGATCTGAAGCCAAAAGCTTCTTCTGGGTTTCCCATGTGGATTCAGGGTCCCAAGGCTTTGGGCCATCCTCTACTGCTTTCCCAGGTCACAAACAGTGAGCTGGAAGGGAAGTGGAACAGCTAGTGTATGAACCGGCACCCATAAGGGATCCTGTTGGATGCAAGGCGAGGATTTAGCTACTGAGTTATGACACCAGGCCCGGTTTCTAGGTCCTTATCAAGAGCCTGTGAGATGTCTGATCTGAGAAGTGCTGTTTTCCTTGTTGTGTGGGCAATGGAGTAAAACAAAGGAAGGATTTAGAGGTATACCTTGGCTGTTAGTTTCAGCTGGCCCTGTCCTCCTCAGATGGAGTCCTAATGGAGTTCCAGTCCTAGCAGGATTGAGTCTGTTCCCAGAGCCACTGTTGGTGTTTCACTTAGCTGTACAGTCAGTGGGTTGAGAAGTCTGTATAGGTGATCTTACATGCCAAGTAGGGCAGGATTTCTCCAAGTATTCACTCCAGAAATACAGTAATCTATGTTAAGTTTTGCATCTGTGTAAGTAAGTTATGTTTGTTATGCCGTTCATACAAGGCAAGGATTTTTCCAGATAAAAAGTAATCCTATTCAATTAATTGCATTCACTTCATTAACCAGAGTCAACCATTAGTATTTTCTTCCGGGCCCTTTTCCTTGTGTTTCTGGTTGTGTGATGGTTAATCATCCACTTTCAAGAGCCATGATTCCCGTATGGGTGCTGGTTCGTGTCCCCGCTGCTCCATGTCCTATGTAGCTCCCTGCTTGTGGCCTGGGAAAGCAGTGGAAGATGGCCCAAAGCCTTGGGACCCTGCACCCATGTGGCAGACTCTGAAGAAGCTCCTGGCTTCAGATTGGCTCAACTCCAGCTGTTGCAGCCATTTGAAGGAATGAACCAATGGGCGGAGTAGCTCTCTGTCTGTCCTCTTTGTATATCAGCCTTTCAAATAAGGGTAAATAAATCTTTAAAAAGAAAAAAAAAAGATGACATCTGATAATCTGAAATGGCAAATGTATGGATTGTACATATACCCTTTTTGTTAATTATGTATTAAAAAAACTTGTAATAACATAATGAAAGAAGTTTATTTCTCTTTACAGAGTGAAGGCACACTTCTAGCAACTGGTTCATATGATGGATTTGCCAGAATATGGACGAAAGATGGTAAGTGAAACATTTTCTATTTTGTTTTGTTGCTAATCTGAACAAGTTTGAAATAATTTAATATATTTTTATTTTTAGGTAACCTTGCTAGCACCTTAGGGCAGCATAAAGGCCCTATATTTGCATTGAAATGGAATAAAAAAGGAAATTTCATCCTTAGTGCTGGAGTAGATAAGGTAAAACGTTACTAAATTCTATTAAGGTTAATGTATTAGTATAATTTAAGTAGCATTTTCCCTCTCTGTCAGTCATAAACAGGGTATTCATAATTGGGAAATTTGAGAACAAATAGAAATCCATTCTTTTTCGATTAATTTTTTGATTAGTTTACTTGTGATTCTATGCTAAAAAACTGCCCTTTTCCTTTCTCTGTGATTGGTCACTTTTTGTTTTTGCTGGAGTTTTGAATCACAGTGAATGTGGAGTTCCATGACTCCTTGGGAAAAGCTAGAGCCTGTTGTTGGAAACCCCAAGCGATGCAGGACCTTTCTGGCTATTTTCACTCAAGTAAACTGGTGAATGTGGATGGGTTAAAAATATGGCCTCCTTCCTCTTTCTTTTCTTTAGATGATCTCACCTTAAAACACCTCCTCAAGGAAAAATAAGGTTTTAAGATTTTAGTCTTAACTTTAGCTTAGAGGAGTTGATGCTGATGAGTACGTGTGGGTCAGACAGGAAGGTGGAGAGAAGTTGGCTTCATGTTCAGCGAACAATAAACAAGGGCAGAGAAGTTTTAAAAAATGGAGAGAGAAAGGCCCTGTTAATTGTTACTGCCACTCTAATACTTTAGGACCCTGTTTTAAATGCTGTCAAAAATCAAATGTCCCTGTTTTAGAAATGTTAATTTTAACAATCAATCAACATTGACAATTAGTTGGATCTAACAACAACCCACAACTTACCTTTTGTAGCTAAGTAGTTATAAGGATTTTATATTAGATATGTGATTTAAATGGAGTTTATCAAGCCTCCCTTTTCCTAGTTAGTTGTACTTTGTTGACAACCAGGAATTGTTCATTTCAAACAGTTGGCTGGTGAAAAATTGCCATGGAAAACTGCCTAATGGTCAGCCTTCTCATCTCTTCCCTCCGGTGACACAGAGCCTTATGGTATTGCTGGGGATAAGAAACATTGAAAATTAAATCTACTCTCACATTTCTTATTGCTATAAATACAGCTAGGTATCTTATGCATGTATGATAAACTTCTAATTTCATAATGACTTTTCTCTTTTATCTCAGACAACAATTATTTGGGATGCACATACCGGTGAAGCCAAGCAGCAGTTTCCTTTTCATTCAGGTAATTCTTTGTAATGTACGTTAGAGCTGTAGCTTTCTTCTGTTTCTCTAAGCCGACGTCTTGCATGGTCAGGTATCAGTCTTGGTAGTCAGCCTTTCAGACGCCGGGGTTTCTGCCAGTTCACTTGTTCGTTGTGTTTCCTGAGACGTGTATTGTAGAGAGAGCATCTGTAGTCTTGATCCATTTATCAACATGATTTATTTTAAAGAAATGGATATTTTTCAAATCAGAAATTGTAACTTTTAAAGTCAATTCATCCTCACTAAATAAGCTTTAAGAAATAGCAAGACATGTCTGAGCCTTGCTTTTGCTCTCTGTTAATGAGGTCTAAAACATTGCCTGTTTGTTCTTGAAACATAAACGGTCTCTTCAGACACTTCCTGACCCATGAATTTGTGTGCTCTTATCAATTTCTCAGGATGAATTAATGCATCTCTGTTGGTCCTTGTGACGTAAAATTTTAGCAAAAAGTTCACATAGTTTTGTTGGAACTGTGATGTTTTACTTGAGTTTCTCTTTTAAGAAATACTCAGTTTGATACTAAAGTTAATCAACTTGACTGCTAAAAGAGTGTACTTTTCTTCTCATAGAATGAATGCAGCTGATTTTTTTTTTTTTGCCCATGAACATTAGTTTCTGAGTATCTGTCAAATTTCCATTTAGCTTCCTAAAATTGATTTTTAAATTCCATTGTCATTTAATTCAGCTTGGTATTGTTATAACTTTGATGTTAGTTGTCTCTGCGATGATTCCATGAGGTTTTGCGCTAGGCATTGGAATCGTTCATTTCTGTTTCCTTTGAAGCTGTGTTTTTGTTGCATTGATTCTGAAACAATTTTATTTTATGGATTCACATTTACAAAAATACCATCCCTATGGTAAATTTATATTTATTACCATGTTAGTCCTCTTGTTTTTTCCCAGTTTATATTCTGTGCTTTGAAATCTCTGTTACTTGACATTCATATACCCATTTCAGATTTCTCTGATTAGAATTGGCGTGCTGAAAGTATTTTTCTATTGCTCTATTTTGCCTCTGTTGACATTTTTATAAATGAAGTGTGTTTTACTTAGATGTATCTTCCAGTTCAGTCTTGTTTGTTCATTTAGTCTACATTCTCCAATCTAGATTAATCATTTTCCTCCTTTTGTGGACTGTTAACAAATATAATTTTTTGATTTTTAGTAGATTATATCAGGATATGTAAACACTTAGTGTAACTTCTCAGCATCTACGTTGAAGTGATATTTTAAATGGATTAGCAGTGCTCTGTGAGGCATCGTCTCTGATATTTTCATTTCCGTAGATAAGAAGTATTTCCTTGTGCTTGGATTTTTTTTTGCCTGAAAGATTTTCTCTATGATTCCTTACAATGCAAGTTAACTGATTCTTGTTAGCTTTTATTTCCGCTAAGATTTATTTATTTTTATTAGAAAGGTAGAGTAATTGGAGAGAAGAGACAGAGGGAACGATCTTTCATCTGTTGGTTCACTCCCCAAATGGCTGTAATAGATAGCTGAGCCAATCCATGCCCGGAGCCAGGAGCTTGTTCCAGGTCTCCCATGTGGGTGCAGGATCTCAAGGTTTTGGGCCGTCCTCTACTGCTTTTCCAGGCCACAAGCAGAGAGCTGAATGACAAGTGGAGCAGCCGGGACACAAACTGTTGCCATGTAGGATGCAGGTGCTTGAAGGTAGAGGATTAGTCAGTTGATTTATTGTGCTGGTCCCCAAAATATCTTTCATTTTTCCTTCAGTTTTGAAAGATTTTTTTTAAAATCAGTTTAAGTAAGTTGCTGATCTACTATCCTGGGCATTGTTTCCCATTTGTAATCTGCTACTGCTTTGTCTTATTTTATGTATGATTTTTCTTTTCTTACTATTGCTCAACAGTTTGAATACGTTTTACTTTGGTTGTAGTTGTATTCCTGCTTTTTATCCTTGAAGATCACTTAGATTCATTAGGTTATAGTTTTCTGAAAAATATTTCGGTCATCTTTTCAAATGTTTTTGTTTCACCCTCTTAGCTTTTTAACTTGATGGTAGGTCGCATACGAGTAAGTCTGCTTGAAGGAGTCCCGCCGCCGAGCGCTGTGCTCGTAGTGCGTTTGGTCTTTCCTGTCTGTGCCCTGCTCCTTTCCCTGAGCGGGCATACTGTACTCAGTCTCATAAGGTTCCCCTAGGTACCGCCTCTATAGTTTTCTCCCATCCACTGTTTTTGCTTTGTTTAAATTTCATGTGTTATGCTTTTTATTTCTTGAGGTTTGATTGAATTATACTGTGTGTTTATGCCTAACTTTTTGAGCATATAATTTGTAGCTGTAAGTTCTTTGCTGTTTTTGTCATTTCTGAAATCTTTTTTCTGTGACAATCCAGTGATTTGAATTTTCTCCGATTGTGTTTTCTATGTCTGTAAGCCTGGTTCCATTTGATTGGAACTAAGACTGAATTTTATCTTTTTGGATTACTTGATTCCTTTTTATTATAAATATTTATGAAATGTGCTCTGAGACTCAGTTACCACTTTGTAAACGGTTTGATAATATTGCATCTTGTTAAGTATCACAGAATAATGCTCAGTGTAGGGCTAATTGATTACATCATGACTGGACGTGCTCTGGTCTAGCATGTGCATGTCAGCACTCTTCCCAGCTCTCAGGAACACACACCGTGCCTCTTCATCCTTCCCTCAGGTGGCTTCTTTTCTGATTGTGCTGATTAGCGCTCGACCAAATGCGAGAAAAGGGCCTATTCCAGATTTTAGATTTCAAGTCTGCTTTCTAGCTGCCTTTATCACCTCAGACTGTCACTTTGGTATCTTCCACTCAGAAATTCCATTGCTAAATAGCTGGGGAGACCCCTGTCGTCTGTGCTCATATCTGGATGTTTTTCTCCGGATTGTAAGTTCCTCAATTACAAGGACACGTTGTTGGTTTTCTTGTTTGTGTGACCCCATCTGTCTTGCCTGATGTCTAGTGTAGTGAATACTTAGTTCATGTGTCTGGAAGGGTTTTTTTTTGTTGTTATTGTTTGTTTATCTTTGGACAGGAGATAATTCTGACCCCCAGTTAGTCCATTTTAGCCAGAAATGGAAATGTCTATGCATTTTATCATATTTGAAATTAACATACTATATTTTCTTCCCTAACATGAAAAGCAGGCAGTACATAGCCACAAAAGAAAGCCACACATTATAACTCTGATAAACGTAGGTATAAAAATTCTTGCAATACTATACAGGATCATTGAGCACATCTACCAGATTGTATACCATGACCAAGTGGAGCGTCCAGGGATGCAAGGATGGTTTAGCATGTAGAAATCGCCAAACGCAATTTCAATTTAGCATGAAACACACACACAAAAAATGATCCTCTCAATAGCTTCTGTAAATGTATCCATTAGAATTCCACACAGGGATGAAACTCCAGTGGCGCAATAGGTTAACGCGTGGTACTTATACAGAATTCCACACAGGGGCTGACTGGCGTATTAAGGTGCTGCTTGAGATGCTGAGATGCCCACAATACTATCAGAGTGCAAATTGTATTTCTGTCTCCTGACTTTGGCCCTTGCAACCCTAGCTACTACACATCTTGAAGAGTGAAACAGCAGCCAGAAAAAGGTCTTCCCACCCCAGCCTCCTTTCAAAATTGTAAAGAACTAAAATACCTAGGAGAATATTCTGCTACACGGTAAAGGCTATGTATGACATATCCACGGTCAAGATCACACTGAACAGGGAAAGCTAAAAGTCTTTGGGAACTAGAAGTATGTAAGGGCATCCACATCCACACTTAATTCAGTATGATCCTATATAGAGTGTGAGTAGACCAAAAATAAGTAAATAAAAAGCATCCAAATAGAAAAAGCTTAAGTTCAAGTTTCTCTGCTTCTGCATGTATAGGATAACCTAAGGGGTCTACCAAAAGTATGTTAGAACCGATGAATGAGTTCAGCACAATTACAGGATGCAAAGTCAGTGCACAAAATTCAGTAGCATTTTTATACACTAATAATGAACTTGCTAAAAAGTCAAGGAGATAATTTCATTCACAACAGCCTCATCAGATGTAATAAAATACCTACAAATAAGCTTACCCAGACAAGTAAATTATTTCTCCACTCAACAAGGAAATTGAAATAGACATGTAAAATATGGAACGATGTCCCATGTCTGTGGATTAGAAGGATTAATAGTGCTAAGAGGTCCCAGCTGTGCTAGGTGATTTATAGATTGGTGCATTCTCCCGAGGAAATAGTGATGGACGGCTTTGCAGAGATAGAAAATCCTACCTCTAAAATTCATGTGGAACCACAAAAGATGGCAAAAAGGCTAAAGCTGGAGGTACAGTGGTGGTTGACTTCGACGTCCTGATAAGCAAAGCAGCATGGTAGTCAGGTAAAGCCCAATGAATTCACCAGTGAAACAGCAGAGAAACTCAAAGTAAATACATTCACCTTCAACAAATTATTGACAGCAGTGCCAAAACCTACGCTAATTTCCTCAATAAATGGTTCTGAAAAATGTAGATATTAATCTGCAGAAGATTGAAATCAGCTCAAAACTATATACTCTGTCATTAGTGAAAATTAAAAACCCCTCCAAAGGAGGAATTGGAAGGACCCAGCACAAAGAAGAGGGTAGGTATTTAAGGATTTGGAAATGCTGATTGCCATGACTTGCTCATTACACATACTATACATATATCAAATTATCAGGTGGTATGCCATAGATGATGTGCAGTTGTTAAGAATCAAATTTTTAGAAAGGCATATTCATTAAGTTTTATCAGTGGTGAATGTGAAGTTGATACATTCTGTAACAGCAGTAAAAATTGGATACATGCTAAATAAATGAAGGTCAGACATAAAAGGACAGATAGTATGATTCTGCTTATGGAATATTTCAGTTAGACAAATTCAGAGGCCTTTGCAGAGGCTATCACTAGTTGGCTAGGAAGTTACTGCTTAACGTTAGCAGGGTTTTGGAATGTTTGGA